TTGTCGTGCGGTTGCGTGGCGTGCCGTGCCGTGACGTGCCGTTCCCTAACAGACTACACTCCACTCCACTCCACTCCACTCCACTCCACTCCACTCCACTCCACTCCACTCCACTCCACTCCACTGTTCGAAGTCTTACAGATAAGCTACAATTCATATTTTTATTCAAAAGTATCAATTTAATAATAATATTCTGACTAAATGTTTACGTTACACGGAGAAAAACGTACTTGGTTGAATTTTCTCAGCGTTTTGTAATAATTCAAGATCTTTTAATTATAGAATTCAAGTGCTTGTCTTTCCCAACTTCAAACGATTTCAGCTCTAGACTGAAGTCAAGCTACTTGTAAATGATATTTTTAAAATATTCTTATGCTTCAAACGTGACTTAATTCCCAACTTTTACCTGAACAAGTCCATTACACACAATTCTAGATGCCAAGAAATGTTAGCTTGAGATAATTGAGTAAATTTTTAACGGTCTGAATTAGTATTCTTGATTGATGGAGGACTAAAACCAAAACATGGGTTGGTTTTCGTTGAGTAAAAATGAAAATTATTAAACATTTTAAGATTAGTAAAAATCAAGCTGCAAGACTATTCGAAAATCAAGTCATCTCTTTTTTAAATAGAATGATTTTCTTTGCCCGTGAAATGAACTGATATAATTAGTGACAAACAGTCAAAGCAAAACAAAAGGGAATAATGGAAATTGTGTTTAATACTATGTATTACGTTGACTATTCACGGGAGATGGAAAATCCCTCTATAGCACGAAAACATTTTGGACTTGGTTTACGAACGTTTATCATTACAAGTTTTCTTGTCAAACAACGCTGGAATAATTCAAGATTCTACAGAACATCTTCGAAGTCAAGCGTAGCTTAAAAGCATGTTTAATTGAAGAAACATGAAAATAAAGATTTCAAAAAGAAAATCTTTTTTTTTTTCTTTTGTTTTTTTGTTTTTCAATAGCATGACAAAATTCTTTTTAGTGCGGATCAATTATTTAACGGAAATTTGTTGCCAAGAACCTATGCAATCTTTCTATATATCGTCTAATGACATTGATAATGAATGACTAACGTGTAGAAGGTCACGGAAGCCATTCAGTTCCAATCAGTTCACGAATTATCCTTCAATCTATATTAGTTTGTATCACTACTACTACTATCACTATTACTACTACTACTACTACTACTGCTGCTGCTGCTACTACTACTACCTCTAATTATCTCTTTCCTCCCTTCCTTCCCTTCTCTTTTTCTTTCTTTTTTCCTTTCCTTTTTTTTTTCTTTCTTTTTTTGTCATTTTGTCTTTCATAAAGTTTTCAAAGTTGATAATAGCTAGACAAACAATAGCAATCCTTAGCCGCTTTTCTTTATACTCTTTTCTCGATTTAGTTTTTCTCTTGTTTTCCACGATAAATGTCATTTTTTTTACTTTGATAAACTAAAGGCTTTCTAACTAAATCGCATTACCAAAATGAAATGCGTTTTTTTCCGTGATAATTACCCAACCAATTAAGTTAACGAAGTTGAAAACCCTTTTATTAATAAGCTAAGCGGAACCTTAGACATAATTGTTTTAAAAATTTGCTTGAATAATTCATAAATTGTTAAAATTTTCTGATTGCCTAAGTAGCCAATGACAATCTTAGCTGGATGTCTACAAGTACCGTTGTACTCAGCCCTTCTTTATATTGAAGCCATGGTTTTGACATGAACGGCAAGATGAACGGAAAGAAACGAAGAGGACTGTTAGTTATGGAATTTGGTCTCGCAGTACTTTTATTTCTTATCAGTGCTGAAGTGTGTTTACTTGTCGAAGGTAAGTTTAATCGTATTTTCGCTCGTATTCTCTTTTCTGCTTTTTTTAACTTTTCTCCTTCTCCTTCTCCTTCTCCTTCTCCTTCTCCTTCTCCTTTCCCTAATTTCTTTCATCATCCTCATCCTCTTCTATTTCTTCTTCTCACGCTTTCCTTGTGTCTTTTGTTGTTGTTGTTGTTGTTGTTGTTGTTTTTGTAGTTCAAGTTGTTTTTTCAGTACAAGAATTGAACACACTGTTGATTCTCTTATTTTTGTAGTTGTGTAGCTAAATAATGGATGGTAAAAATCAAAACATTTGTTCCTTTTTCGAAAAAAAAAATTACCATGCGTATCATTGTCATTTGTATGTTGCCCTAATGCATCGACAATCTACACACAGAACACACGTTTAAGACTGACAGATAAAGCCGTGTTTGTTCGCCTTTGATGTTGAATTTGTCTCTGCAGCTTCAGAATGTAGAACAACAACATCCTTTGAAAACCTGCAAACGAATAAGGCTTTGTTAAACCATGTAATTGAAGAACTAACGCTATCCAGTGACCAGATGTGTCGCATCAATTGCTACCTTAACAATGACTGCGTGTCGTACAACCTTGGTCCTTCACCAACACCTGAAATGATGGTCTGTCAACTGAACGACGCTGATCGTTACCAATACCCACAGGATTACCAGGAAAGACCAGGATACTCGTACAGAGGAACAGAGGTACCTTTTATAGGAATTATCCTTAGTCTCATTTAGTAACATAATAATCTTTAACTTACGATTACCATTATTATTTTGCAGAATAAATGTGCTAACCATCCCTGCTTAAGTACCAACCAAACCTGTCAATCAGGATTTGGTGCTGAAGGATACAGATGTCTTTGTCCAAAAGGATTCACTGGGAATCAATGTGAAATAGGTGAATACTAAATGCTATTTAACTGTTTTGCATCATTTTAGATCGAGATGATAATGACAGTGATAATGATGATGATTATGGTGTTAATGATGATAGTGATGATATTGGTGATGATGATGATGATAGTGATGATGATGATGATTATGGTGTTAATGATGATAGTGATGATA